TCCCAGAAAGAAAACAGATCATTTCGGACCAGCCTTAAACCAGTGATAGTTTCTAATACCTGAGCACGCAGAGTGGTGCGTGGGCTCGCCGGGAGTCAGGCCAGGCAGTGGGCTCATGGGCCAGGCTGCAGCCCCGCAGAGACCCCCCCGCGGGATGTCTAGCCCAGGTACAGCTCGAGGTGCTAGGGGACCCCAAGTCCCCGCAACACAAGGAATCGAGGACACTTGGCTACCCAAGACAGTGGTTTCTCCTCCAGCCTTTTGGTGGGGGAAAGCTCTGGGACATGCTGCTATAGCAACAGCTTTGTCTAGGATTATAATCCCTTAATTTTATTAACAACAGCTTCTGGTGTGCTGCTACCTTCAGATTTCTATTTCCTCAATGTACTTTTTTTTAAGCATTCCCCATGACATTTTACGGCCCTAACTGATTCACAATTATGTCTTAAGCTCTACTGCAGCACCCAAGTCCTCCAAGCCTTATAGGTATGTGGGAGCCCGACAGGCACCCACATTTTCACCGAGTTCAGCATCCCTGCATTTGCTCTTTGAGATGGAGCGTGTGGGTTTCTTTGCGTAACTGCTTGATCCAATACCTCCCTCTGGTGGAAAATAGGGAATAAAGCAGAATAAAATAAAGCCTCATACAACATATACATTGGTTTAAGATAGCTGTGAAAACAATACAGATCTTGGTCTAGGCCATGATTTTCTCTCTAATTACTACATTTATTCCAAATGAATTTGAATGTATCACACTGAAGTTTATGTCAAATAGTATTCGACTGGAAAAGAATTGTAATGAATGGTGAATGCCAATTTTCCTGTATTTTTTCAGAAATTAGGCAAATTTGTTTTAAATATAGGCAGAAGCCTATATCGAGACAATATGTCTTTATGGCTTTGTTTCTGCAAAGAAAATCAACAAAATTCCCTGTTCCAGAAGAGTATTATTTTGTGCTCAAGTTCAAAAATCCATCATACAGCCCATCTGCTATCTGCAATCGCAAGGATTGATAGAAATGTCTCAAAATATAATTGTTCCCTTTCTATGCCATAATTACGCCTTTGAAGTTCCCTGTGAGCGTGATAGATCGTTTGCCATCTGCCAGGAATGCCTATTCTATGTAGATCAGAAAGTGCGGATAAGAAAGAAATACTCAAGTACGATCCAGTTAACTTTTGTCCGGATACTCATGGGCTTAAGGAACGGCACAAGGATAAAATGCTTTGCACAGGTGACAGCTAAGTCTTTCTTTAAGGGCTCCTTTCATCAGCATGGAAAGTCATTTAATGACCTTCCACTGTTCACCCTCTCCCATGTGCGAATGTTTCCCTGACACTTGCTCTGCGTTTCCAGATGAAGACTATGGAGTCGATGCAACAGCATGGACAGATTTAGGATCAAAGTGGAGTTTTGCAAATTCCTCAGCTGCCGGCTCAGTTTCAGCTCGAGCTGGAGAGTTAACACAGGCCGCATCTTTGCTTCAGCTCCTGGCAAGGCTCTTGGGTGAGGAGCAGAAACTCAGGGATGGCTGATAAGATACTGCCAGAGACTGACACCCGAGGCTGGGCAGCTGAAGCAAGAAAGGACTCATCTCAACAGATTTCAGCTGCCTAAAAGCCAAGTGGTCAGTGTCAGCGAGCTGGCTTGCAGGCGTTGGAACATTGTGACTCCCCTTTGTGGGTAGGTGTATAGTTGGCACAGGGCAGCATCACTATGTATCTATGGATATACATTAGAATATTTAAATTTTCCATGCCCAGGGAGAAAAATGAGGGAGGGATGTGCAATTATTCCCAAAATATTAGGACATATTCTTGGCAAATTTAAAGTTTCTGGAACAAAAAGCTGAGTAGGATGCTCAGCCTTTTGTGGCACGACCTTAGTGAGGAAGAAAGCCTCTGCAAGAAAGAGTAAGATTTAAAAAACGAATTTCAAGCTAGAGACTGGAGGGAAGTGAGCAGGCAGAGAGGAGCGGGGATTCATGATGGCATGTCCTTAGAGGTGCCATTTTGACATCTCTATAACCACAAGTAAGCAGGAAATACCAAGGCGCAATCTGGACAAATAAGGCCCCTTTAAACAGGGCACAGGAGCTGGAGCAATCAGGCTGAATGTATGCTTGTTTCTATTTGCTATAAGTCTAAAAATAAGATATGGGACTAAAATGCTTGATTTTTATATAAAGGTATTGAAATATCAGAGTCTTTCCAGAAGAAAGATTACTACTGGCTCATTGTAATAGCATGATAAAAATTACATGGGAAAGAACTGAAATAGATCTCGTCCAAATGAGAAAATGGAAAAGGACATGAACTCTGTCAAATTAAAAGCAGAAACAGAAAAGCAGACTAAAAAAGATCTTGAGGAAATAACTTGCTAATAGACAAAAAGCTTCCTCTACCCCAGCAGGAGCAAGGAGCCTGCCAGAGGGTCTGCAGGTGACCAGGGTATGCAGTCAGCAGACGATCAGGGTGGCAAAGGAGTTTGAGAGATGACAAGCCCTAACACGACAGCTAAACAGACCACTTGTGTCTGCGTTCAGCACAGAAAAGCTTAGTGAAATTCCCACAGCGGAGCCATTTGTTAAGGGGATAATGCAGGGAAGCTGCCTCAGATTGAAGGGCCATTAGATGAGGGTTTAGAACAAATAGATGCAACGGGTAGTAACAAATTCATGAGAAGCAGATGTTACTCACTTGTGGGTTTTTAGGGAATGCTAATGGGAAATTGTTGCACTGTTAGGGCTGGTGTATAACCCTTTACTTAAAACAGCCAAAGAAAAAAGAGGATGGCATGTGACACTGTTTTAAGTGCTGTGAGGGATCTAGAGAAATGCAAACCACTAAATCTGACACCCGTAGCAGGCAAACAGGAAAAGCCATGATAACAGAATAGTTGCAAGGACAGATATGGACTAAGAGGGAAGAATCATCAGAGCTTTGCAGTGAGGAGCTATGAAGCTGTGCTTCACTATCCTCTTACGGCTTCAGAGGAAACAGTGAGGCTGCAGGCTAGAGCAATCCGCTCGGTATGATCTGCTCAGCTTCTAGAAAGCCTTTAATAACGTCTGTCACCAAGGACTCATAAAGAAGCTAATCTGGGATGGGGTAAAAGGGAAGATCCTCTCATGAGTCAGCAACTGCATATAGGATAGAAAGACAAGGTAAGGATAAATCATCTGTTTTTCACAATGGAGAGAAGTCACCAATGACATCTGAGAGGGATCCATGGTAGGGCCAGTGCTAATCCACATACCCATCAGTTGGGCGGTAAATGGTGAAGTGGCTTAGACTGCTGATGGTACCAGCTTATTCAAGGTAGTAAAATGTAAACTGGCTGCAAGGAGCTGCAAAAACATCTCATGAGCCTGGGCAATGAAATGGCAGGTGAAATTCAGTGTGGATAACAGCAGAGAAAAACAGATGGCTGAGTTGGGAATCATAGAATCATAGGATAGTTTGGGTTGGAAGGGACCTTTAAAGGTCATCTAGTCCAACCCCCCTGCTGTGGGCAGGGACATCTTCAACGAGACCAGGTTGCTCCGTCAGAGCCCCGTCCAACCTAGCCTTGAATGTTTCCAGGGGTGGGACAGCCACCACCTCTCTGGGCAACCTGTGCCAGTGTTTCACCACCCCTCACTACCCAGTCTCAGCAATGGCCTCTGAACCACCTAGTACTGTTCGGGACAAATATCTTGGAGTTAGGTAGTTCTATCCAAATGATAGTTAAAAGCTGATTAGTGGCTATAAAACTATTGAATATTAGGAATTATTAGGAAGGGAAGACAGATGTCATCAATTAAATACAGGATTCACCCCCTACCATGAGTACTGTGTGAAGTTCTGGTCCCTCCATCTCAAAAAGGGTATGGTAGAGTGAGAAAAGGCATAAAGATGGGCAACAAGGAAGACCAAAGAGATGGGATGACTTTATGTGGGCAGCAGCTACGTAAACCAAGATTCTTCAAGGTGGGAAAGAAGAGTCCGAGAGGGAGAATGGTACAGCTCTATAAATTCAAGAAGGGTCATGGAGAATAACTAGTCACCACTTCTCATAAGATGCAAGAAAGGGCCATCAAATGATGTTTCCAGGTTCAAGACAAACATGAAGGCAAGGAGCCTTGTGCCTGGGCGAAAAAGTGTCTCCTGTTATGGAACCTGTTGTCATGAGATGTCGTGGACCACAAAAGCACCATACATGGTTTCAGAAGCAATCCGACAAATGTGTGGAAGATAAATGATCTGAGGGCCATGAAACACTAAGCTACCCCTCAGCTGAATGGGCCAGGGTATGCTAGAAGTGGCCCTCTCCACTGCTGGCCATGGCCAGAGCTAGAATGCCAGACTGACGGGCCTTGCAGCTGAACCTATTTTGCCATTTTTATCAACCAGACAACTTTTAGAAGTAAATTAGAAGAAACCTCCCCACCCTGCAGAGCAAGAAGTGCACAACCAGAATTCTGGTTTCTCACGGGGCTATGAACACCCCATTAGCATTAGCAGTGTTTCTTGCTCCAGGATAAGGTACACTGTTTGTTACTTTTTAAGATTAAAATCAAGATTAAGAAAAAATAGACCACTCTCATGATTTTCCCATGTATTTTTTCTGTTCCGTGTTAGCTGAGGACAAAGCTGCAGTTTGACAAGCCCTACGCCAACACTGCTGCCAAAAGCAGCAGCTCTGTCCTCTCATACCGCTGGAAAGGACAAATGATGGGGGCAGGAGTGCAAAATTAGCCTTCAGAGCTGAGGAGAAGAGGGCAAGACTGCTGAAGGCAGGGCTAGCTTAGGCTGATCCCAGGTGCTAACTGACCTATAATTTAATTTGATGATGTTTCTTTCAACAGCTGTCCCTTGCGAAGGCTAACTGTCCTCATCCCCCCTGAGAACAGCAGGAGTTGGCAGCCATGTCTGAATGTGGCCTTTCTTGGTCCTGTCAGGCCATCCCAAGTGAAAGAAAACCCCTTGTTTATGAAAGGAAACACTACAGAAGTGACCTTTGCTCCGTTATTAGAACTTTATTTATCAGTTCATTTTAATCGTGTGAATTCTTGAAGGATTTTGATTTGTTTTGCAAGGACAAAAAACTAGTCAAAAGTGGATGCTAACGCTTTTGAATGAGCCATTTAAGATCTAATGAGTGGTTTAATCACTGTCAGACCTGTACTTCGATGGTAAGCTCCAATTTTGGGGAGTGACTATCTTCAGCCACATCAAAGGGCTTGAATTGCTGAGGGGAGTGTAAAGCCCAGCTCAGCCTCTGCCACGGAGTGAGGGTTTGGGCGTCAGTGGCTCAGCTTCCTTACGGCAGAGGAGCTTGCTCATGTCCAGTTACAGACAAATTCGTCTTTAGAGTGTTTATCTAGTCTTAACTGGCTCTTCTCTCCCTTATGAAACTGAAGCTGGTGTTAAGATCCTTGTTGGTTTGTCACCGATTTATTCACATCAGCTGTTGCAAGGAAAGCAGACAGTGCTGATGTGAAGTAGAAGAGAGATGCTTGCACTCCCAAGCCCACCCTGAAAAACCCTCTTCTGTAGAACACAGGCCATGTCAATGCTCCTATTGGGGGGGGGGAATCATCTGTGTCTGAGAGCAAAATCTGAGGGGCTTGGAGAAAAAGAGATTTGCAAACAAGTGTGAGAAAAGATGCACAAAACTGTAGCTCATATGGGGCAACCTCCTCTCGCAGAAACTTGGTGTTAAGGTGTAATATGAGCAAATGCAGTGATCGGTGTCACAGACCTGCTCTTAAAATCACACTTGCCTGGTCACTGTGCATGACAGTGACCTGACATTGCTTTCTGTAAGAGCTGACCCGGAGCACTGTAATGCAGCACTGCGTGGCATTTTCTTTTCCTTGTAAATCACATGGAAAATGGTGAAGTTTGTTAGCAAGATGGCAGGAGCATGGGCAATACTAGATTAGATTTGGTACAAGAGGAGAGAACTAGTTTTTACTGAATCTGAACCTAGTGCATTTGATACCCTTTAGATGCAGATGAAGAAATGCTAAACTGATGTTATTGATATTATACTGCAGCAATCTGATCCCTGTTATGTGAAGAATACTTATACATCTTGCCTTCTCCTTAACATGAGGCTAGGAGAAATGCCCAGGGCAGAAACAATGCCAGATGGAGGAGAAGGACAGCTGGAATAATACTTGGATCAACCCATCATGCCTTTCCTAGGTGGCAGCTGGAAGCCAGGTGAGATACCACCGAGCATCTGCAATGGCACAAGCTGTTGTCTTAGGTTCCTTCTATCCAGTAATGGAGTAAAAGTCCAAAGCTGCTACTAGGAGATGCAACACTAGCCTGTCGTAAATGGAAAAGGAGCCTCTGGCATTCAAAGCTTGGCCCTCGATGAGGAGCCTTGCAGGGCAGCAATGCACTCTCCCACCAGGCGAGCAGCCTCTTTGGCTGTGCCCCTGTGCACTGAAAAGCCACCTGCCCCGTGCCCATAGTTGTGGACCACCGGGAGCTTAACTCCTCCTTGGCTCAAGACCTCTCTCTGCAGTCTCACGCACTGCCTGGATGGCCTCAGGCCCACCTTCACCTTGATATCCTGAGCTCCCCGCAGTGAGGGCTCAAGGGAGCAGCATCTGTCAAAGATGCCTTTGGTAGCGCCAGGATCAGGGGAGAGACTCCAGCTCTCCTTTTCCCTGGTTCCCCCTAGGGTTACCCTGTGTATCCCCGGGTAGATGTAAGTTAAGCCATCGCCATCCCGGATGAAGTTTTTCACCCAAGGAGCATGAGCCTTGAGTACTTGTCCCCTGACAGGAAAGAGCTTCTCGTCCCCCACCAGCTGGTGGGCTCCAATGCCCGTGCAGTTGACGACGATGTTATATTCGCTGTGCAGCTCCCACAGGTCTGCGACTTTTCTGGTGTACATCTGGACGCCAGTTGCTTTCAACCTGCAAAGAGACTCCAGAAGTGAGGCAGAAAAGAAACCCCTAAACCCTCATGTAATTATTATGCACATTAAGTAAATGGGATAGATCGCCTTTAACATACCGATCAAAACCAAACAACAGATGGGACAAAAAGCAAAGAAAATGCCATGGGGTTTCTGTTTGTGACTTGTCTGATCTGGTCTCATCAAAGCTATTTTTAGCTTGTTTGGGCTGGAAAAGATACAGCAAGTTGATCAATATTAGAGAAGGGTCTGGCATAAGACCCTAGACAGACAGAAAGGTCCTCATGGTCTCATTGATTCATTTCTATAACCGTACCAAGCTTTAACAGCTCAAGCAAGCTGAAAAATGTCAGATTTATTCAACAATGTATTTCTGCTAGTGACATCACTATCGTTCTACACCCCTTTTAATGTGCCTATTACACACCGTCTCATTCATTCCCAACTCACTCCCCGGATACCAGGAGCCACTTAGTCATGTAGTGCCACATGCGAAGCTCTGGGGTACCCAGGACGTCCCCGCAGGCTGGGCAGATGTGGCATGGGACCACCAGGAGACCCACACCCTTCTAGAGCAGCAGCCAGGAGTCACCCAGGACAGCTCAGAGCACTATACATCCATGTCTGCTCTTCAGCAAAATTCATCCCTTCTTGAGGTTCACCTTTGAGCTCAATTTCAAGCCAAATTCTACCCTGAACTTGCCTGAAGCTTGATACCCTTCTCCATGGAGAAACATTGGCGTGAGGTGGAGTCACCACATGCTGTCAGCTGGATCCAGTCGCTGGGGTGGTTTTAGCATGAACAAGTCGCTGGGGGTTTTAGCATGAGCAAGTCAGGAGACAGATCTGCGATGACGATGCACTAAGTGGGAAGTCCTGTCCTCTGCAATACTCTGGCAGCTGACAGTGATCAGCCCCACTATAAAGGCAGTGGTTTCCCACAAAGGAGTGAGTGAGCCAAGGATCCAGGGCACTATTGGTGCTCTGGGGGCTGGGGTTTGGGTGCAGCAGGATACTGAGGCTGGCTGGGAGGAACTGGGGAGGTCTCATGCAGCAGCTCTGGCTGGGCAACTTGCTGGGAGAGCTTCTAAGTGTTGTAATTGGGACTCCACCATCATGGCATAAAAAATACACTGAAAACTCCTGAATTCAGGCAAGCAAGCAGGAAAAATTTCCTGAAGTCTATTTTTGGACCAGCAAGGTGGGCACAAAAACAGTTTTCCTTGTGGATTGCCAAGAGAATGGTCTATAAATACTGCTCAGGTCACTAGGGGTTTGAGAATTAGTTACATGTTTAATATGCTCTCATTTCTCATCACCAGAGAGAAGAGAAAGAAAAGGAGCTTGATCATCTTACTAGACTACATCCTTTGAGAAATGAGAAGGCTATAGCAGGAATAAGGAGGGAGCAGAAATCAGATGGCAGATACTAAATGGGTTGAACAACTTAGTTGTGCTTCAGCAGAAATTTCCGATTCAGTTAAGCAATGAAACATGACAGAGCATGTGCACTGAGGAGGCGGCACAGACCTCACGTGGCACTGGTGCTGCTGGAGTACTCCCAGCCTGGCTGGCTGCTAGAACAAGAAATGTTTTTTCACATTTTGCAGTGAGATGAAAGGCGTCCAAGCAACCGGCTGAGCTGGCAATTTGTACCACGGTGTCGGTACACGTCTCTTTACTTAACCTCAAATCAGCTTGCAGCTTATCGCTTTCTCTTAAGCGGAGACAGCTATTTGCTCACTTTAGGGATACTTAAATGGATTAAATGCACATCCCAGGTGTCACAACTTTTTTAGATCTGCATCCTGACTCTCCTACGGTTCTCCAAAATCCACATATTTTGGGGAAACTTGGAAATTTGGAAATCGGCAAATTTTCTAACTTTCATGTCAATCCAGGCATGGCCTCTGAAGCCACAACTCCTCGGAGTGAATGCATCACCCATCTTACGCAGGCAAACATTTCCAAAAGGTTTGTTACAAGATGATGCTATTTGACCTTTTTTTACCCGACTGGATTAAGAAATGCCTCCAATTGTTGACTAAATTTGAGATTAATTGGTCCAGCTACTTCTTAAGTGCAAAGTCTTCACAGATAAGACATCTTCCCAGATGTGCCTATTCTCCCAGGGGTTGGATGTATCTTGAAGAACAGAGGGATATATTTGGGAAGTCTGACAAATGAGGAGCATGTTTTCTTAGGACATGGCATGTTCCTGATGTACCTTCAAGGTCTGGCTGGCCAAGCGTGGCCCCTGTGGCTATGCAGTCCTATGCCCAGAGGTGCTCCCACTCTAAGCCCCACTGTACAGCCACAGTGGTAGAAAGTGGACATTGCATAGATGGGGCCTTTCACATTTTGGAAAAATTGGGTATTTATTTCTTGTGCTTCTCCCCAAGGAAGAGCTTGCTGCATTTTCCCCAGTGAGAAACAGCCCTTTTCCAGTTTTCTTCAAACTGAAGGCTCTCAAGGAGTCCCCAGCTCGCCCCCAGTGCCCCTGCCTCGGTTTCTCTCTGCATGCCCAGCCTGCAGCAAAACCAACCTTTTCTCCAGCCACAGCAGGTAGGGTGGACAGTCACATTTCAGTGTCGTAAAGGCCTGACCAAATCGGTGCTGCGGAAACTTTTGGAGTTCTGCTTCGGACATTGGTCGAAATCCCAGGACGACATCCGACCAGAAAGGTAACTCTTCCTTGGGAGTGTTTTTAAAGACCTGCCACCTAAAAGGACACAGAGAAAAAGCTGCAAAACTTAGTCACTATTGCTCTGCCATGTTATGTGTCACGGCAATCTTAGCACAAACCCAGGAACTCAAGAACCTGTTCCCACTCATCAGTGCAGCTCTGCAAGGTTAACAGCAACAGGGAAACATTGCTGCCTGCTACTGCAATACCCACCTTGGCAAACAGGCAGAGGGGCTGCCACAGCCAAGCTTGCAGGTGACACACTGGGGTAACTAAACTGGAGGGAGTTCTTCCAACTATACTGTATGAAATTCCAGCTGTAGAAGTACAAAGTCCCCTCACACAGTGTCCCCATCACAGCTGTGGCCACCCTGGCTGGACCTTCATGTAGCGCCACTTGCACACCTGGTCACATTTTTTTGGGTGCCCATAAAGCTCCAGAGTGCCCAGCCTCAACACTCCCAAGAGGTGAATTTCTATGTAGATAACGGGCAGCATAAAACACCTCCAACACACACACACACCAGTTGCATCCCTATACCTTGTTGCTGAAGCTGGAGGATCCTGCAGTCCCATCACTATGAAGACTGCCCCTGTTGCAAGCAACTGGTGGATGATGGTATGGAAAACATCAGTTATTAAAAGACATTTGGTGCTGGCCAGTCTTGAGTGGTTTCTCTGTACACACCTATGCATGAATTTTGCTTGAAAATACATAGTATCTGAGCAGCTGCAATGCAGTTTCTTGGGAATATGGTCATAAGTGCTACTCCATGAAGGGAATATGCCTGAACTCCAGCAAGGAAAACCTCTCTGCGTGCTCCAGCACGTGGCACACGCATACCAAAGGCTGCCCTGGGGGCCTGTTCTTACCCGGAGACCAGGTGAATGCCAGCCTCTGACGCCTCAGCTGAGTTGCTGATGGCAAAAAGGTAAGTGAAGGTCTCTTTGAACCACTGCTTCTGCACGTGAATCGGTGTGCCTGCATGTAAACAAAACCAAACATGCAGAGAGGGAAAATGCAAAGAGGAGAAGCGTACAAACCAGTGTCGAGGAGACAGGACAGACAGGGAACGCAGGGTATGGCTCTTCCTGAACCTCTGTGCATCGCTGCATACCCGGGCACACAGCCGCACGCAGTGCCATGAGCAACGCCACGCCAGGCTGCACGCACCTGGGTAGGTGTGAGGGATGAGCATCCCAGCTGCGACGTCACTCGTTGTGTTGGGGCTGAACTGGTCTGAAAGGACCATCACGGAGCAGCTGGGGCAAGTCTCTGCGATGCACAGTGCTGTGGACAGGCCGATAACTCCTGCGCCAACCACTGCAACCTTGGGTGCTGCCATCTCCGGGGTGCAGAGCCAGAGGAGAGAGGCACCTAGGTGCATTTGGAAATAACATATCCCATGTCACCAATATCCCTGCCGGACACCCTCATCAAGCTATGAAATACCCACACAAGATGTAACATAACCCCCCTGGGGCAGCTAATCATGTTGGGGGCAAAAGTGCCTTTGGAGCTCTGGGGAAATTGGCTTTTAGGCACCATGAGCAAAAAGGCTGTTTGAACATCAGCATCTCTAGCAATGAGGTCTGTCACCGCCTGGGCAGCGGAAGCAAATTGCACAGGAGGCAAATTGGTTACGCAGAGCAAAGGGTCCGGCACATTGTGAAAGATGTTTTTTTTAACATGCACCTCAGTTCCCCTGCTGTGCAGGGCTCCCCCTCTGACCCCGAGGACTGGGTTACCTGCTTAGCTCTGTCCTAGAAAACGTGAATTTTAGCTATTAAACGCAATGCATAGCTTCACAAGGTACAGCCTGGCTGTTTACACTCCCACGTCCAAAAATTGTTTGGGCCACGATGCCTTGGCGGGAAAAGTGTGGGAAGAGAAGCTACCTGTACCCTGGGGAATTTTGTGCCCCTAGTGACCTGAGGTCTCCAACCCATCCTTGGCCCCTGTACCTGCCAGCATGACCCACTGCCTTGGACAGATTCATGGGCATCTGAGGCTGCTATGCTTTCCTGGCAGCACACAGTGGTCCCCAGGAGCTAGCCAGCCTCGCTGCCCCAAAAGCCTGTATATTCGCCTCTCTGCCTTGCTTTATAATCTGCTTTATGTCCTGGAGCAGCTCCACTCCACTCCTCAGCATCTTCAACTGCTGATTGCTACTCCAGGAGGTGCAGCATCTCTATTTTCCCTTGTCCTGGCCAAGTTTCGGAGCTTGGCACCGGCGCTGATGAGTGGCACATGGCTCCTGGTTGATAATCACCTGGCTGCCTGTCCCAGCAAGGTGCCAGCCTGTGCGCCTGGCTACGGCCAGCTAACAGGTTTCACACCGGCAGAGGCATGAAGCACAACTGATCCATGCAACTCGTTGCGCCCTTGAAGCCAGGATCTAAATGGGCCTGAAAGAAACTGGGCAACCTCAGAGGTGATAAATCCTTCTGTGGCTTTGAAATAGGCGAGTTGGGGTGCACCTGCTGGCTCAGGCACTCGTCTGGGGGTTACTGCCAAAGGCTGAGCGGGGATGTAGGGGGAGAATCTCCTCTGCCTGTGGCTCTTATGTTTTCCTGGAGTATCTACCAATATTCACTCTTGGAGAGGATGCTGGGTGATATGGACCTTTAGTCTTGCTCCCTTACAGTCTTGCTTTCTCCTACAGGGCTCACTCTTCCTTGACTGTAGAAATCCAGCCTCACTAATTGCTTTCTGAGAACCTTTTCCGCAAACAAGTGCCTGCAGTTATAAGGATGGGCTGATTTCCCATCTTCCTGTGGCTTTTGGCGTCTTTGATGTAAGTTTAGGCAAGAGAGACTGTGTGGGATTATGATAGGTCAGGTTTATTTATGCGATCCTTGCTCATAACTCTTCACACAGCTTTTCACTTACCCCTGAGGTTTTACTACTTAAAATTTGACGTCCCTACTATGTATGAAGGAAGAGAGGACCAGGCACTGTTGCTCATCATTGCATTCCTTCTGCATCACAGCTGAGGGTTGTTACAACCCCTCTTCTTCTTCTCAGCGTGATGCTTAAGTTTCTTCCTGTTAATTATTACATCTTCTTTCACAAGCTGACTATAAAAGTGCCCACATAGCAGGGAAAGAGGACGCACTGCAGGGGTAAAGATGAACCCTGAACCAGAACTGCTGGCCTGCCTCACTGCTACCCACAAACCCAATCTGAAAAAATGCTGATTTGAATGAAAGCTGCACTCCTCAGCTCTACCATCGCCCCAGGCTGCCTCAGCCACCCGCACCAGGAACGCCTGTGGAGGGTCAGATCATGGACGGCGTATGCTTCCCTACCATAGTCTCCAGAATATTTTGTACTGGTAATTGTTATTAAAAAAAAACAACACAGAAAAGAAAAGAAAAAGAGTGACAAGAAATTAGGGGAGTTTTAATAATGCTGAAATTACTTTTGTTAGGAAAATGGGTTCTGAGAAAGGTCTCTAAACACATTTTTATTAACAAACCTTCTGGCAGCTGTGGAAATCGTGTGTGGCTGTCAGCACACCCAGCGAGCCTCCCAGCAGTCCATGGATGACCACAGTCCTGCTGGAACATATGCACCGGGTACCTCATGCATTTGCCAGAGATGTGCTCTCGGTTGCCCCTCACCGCTCTCGTTCACTGAAGCCCTTGGACCGTGATGGAGATTGAATTTCCTGACTGACCTCCCCACTGCCAGGGAAGAAAGGGGAGCTGTAGCTCGGCAGAGGTTCAGGTTTCACAAGTCTTCCCAATTTGGATGGGATTTTTGCAGACGAGCCAGTTTGATATCAACTGATCCCAATGTTGCAGAAGCCAGTGAGGGTGGAAAGGGGCTGCTGGCAGTGCTGGAGCCTGCGGGAATGGCTCAGAAGGCCACGATGGGCACCCGTCGAACACACTGCTTTTCTAGCACTTACTGCTGCAATCCAGGAGCACATCAAGCCTTACTGTGCTAATGTGCCAAAAATTAACCGGGTGCAAAGCAGAGGCTACACTCAGCTTGTATGAGCAAGCGCAGCTGGGGGTTTGCAGAGCCACTGACCCCACTATGAGTGCAAGACTCACTTGTGGCTCTGCCCTGGCAGCGCAGCCTGCCTCAGCTGGGAGCCAAGCACCTTGCTGGGAGGGCACAGGAGGAGAAACTATTTTTAGCTGATGTGCAGGCCAGCTTAGTGCCAGCAGGGGTGACACTTCTTGCCCCCTCAGACAGGCTTGTGCTAAGGGTTTTGCAAAAATCAGCATTTAAAAGGCAAATCAGTTGCAGTAACTGTTGGGGAGGGAGGCGAAGGGTGTCAGGTATTGTTTAGCTCTCTGTCCTTTCTCAGAAGAATGTCATTGTCAGAAGAATGGGACAGAAGCCAGACAGAGCCACCTGGAGCTGTAATTCCCCAGCAAAGAAGACACGGGCTGCCTGACATGGGCTTCATGCCCCCTGCCGCTGTCCTGCTCTTCCCAGGCCAGAATGAATTATTTTTAAAAATACTGAGATATTTTGTGATGTGACTTAATCTCCCAACTCCTGCAGCTGAGGAGACAATGTCAGCCTCATGTGATGCAAGGGGGTTTAAATTGCAGGTTTAATTAGATCCATTCCTTATTCTTTCTTGCCTCACATCATAGTTGTGTATCACCACTGACCCTCAGTCTTAACATCATTCTATCAGTGGATAAAGTGATCAGTACGGTTAAGTACACTGGTCCCCAGCAGACACATGCACACACATGCACAGGAACATGCACACCCACTGCCAGCTGCAGCTGTAGCCTCTTGGCCCATGGTTCCTCCAGGCTGCCCCTCAGGCTGCGATGGACCCTGGGAAATTGGCGTCCCTCAGCTGCAAGAGCTGCACGAACGCTATTGCTTTGGCATCTTTGCGTTACGGGCACGGCCCCTCGCCCTACCCTTTTCCCCTTATGGCCCAACTCCATGAGCATGCTTCCGTGGCAGGCTGGCCGCTCTTAGCTTGTGTCACAACCCGGCTGACCTACCAAGCTAAGCATATTTACACGACCAAATGAACAGTTCAAAAAGCCCAGCTGAACTGTTGACCAGAAAATGGATCAACAGGAATTAACTAAAGAAAACCAAAACCTGTTACATTTGAAGTCCTGTGGGGTTTTTTTGAACTAACTCTCACCATATCTAAGTGCTGAAACATTTTTTTGGATCGCCTGAAGCCTGCGGTACCGGGGAGCAAAGGCTCCAGCCTTTCTGGACTCCTGGAGGGGCTCCTCGTCCACCCGGGGTGGCTGCGCCCGCCGTCCCCGTCCATGCCTGACGTGGAACGCTTTCTCTCTTCCTTTTTTTGCAGATCACTCCTTTGTTTATTCACTTCCCCAGTTCACAAGCACCCTTGGTGTTGCTTCCCTTCACCTGATCCTGGAGAGGGGTTTTGCCAGGCTTTTTGCTAAAGGTAGTTACAGACGCTGACGAAGTTCGATCTGTTGCTGGGGGTTTGCTGAGGAGGGAGCCCTGATTTTGGCCTTTTGACTCTGGCCCGATCCCTTTTCAGTCATTTGGGCTGCTCTGTGAGACGTACGTTCGGGGCCTGCCACAGGAGGAAGGCAAGGATGCTCTCTTCACCGAACAAGGGATGCTGGAGGCTCCTCGGGACCCCCTCAGCCTCTCTGCTGGGTGCACGTACAGCATTACTGCCGGAAAGCAGGTGTCTCTGAGCCACCACCACAGAGACCTGAGGCTACCAGGCAGGCCTCAGCTCCTCTTTCAGATAGCTGTCTCCATATGCATGCATGGGAAATACCTCCTAAAGGAAGGTAGGTTATACCCATGCTATAAGGTACCAACAATATTAACCTCCACCAGCAGCACCTACATGCCAAGCGATGCTCTTGCTTTTCTCCAAAACCGGAGAGGTCTGCATTGCTCACTCCCCACAGGGCGGGGGTTGTTGAGCCCGTTGCCTCTCTGTGTGGGGAGAGGGGGAAAGCAGGGAGAAGCTGAGGTTTAGCACGCCCCAAACAGCAGGGATCTCACACGCCTGGCCAAACCCTGCGGCTCACCCCTCACACCAGAACCAGCTGTGACAGCCACCACACTTTTACTGTGTGGCCGCCCCTATGTGTGGCCTAAACCTCTCCCTGCCTGAGCCTAAGGAGCTGGTTTGTGCCCTGTGGAAAGTCCCCGGGGCAGCACTAGGTCCCCGTGCAGCCCCTGCGGGCACCTTCCCCGGCCCTCGGCAGCAAAAGGGCTCTGTCATCTAACTTTTCCCTCCTCAACTGGAAGTACGGTCCAAAAAAAAAGCAAGCAGGGAGAGAAGGCAATACCTGGTGAGGAGAAGGCCCCCGGTCCTGCCTGGAAGAGTCGCCCTCCCGGGAAGCGCGGGGAAGCAGAGCGGGAGAGGACGGAGCGCGTTGCCGGGGCAGTGGGGGGGCGGGCGCGGGGGGCTGCCGGCATCTCCCCTTCTCCGAGGCCGCTCCCCGAGTGCCTGGCTCGGCGTCCCTCTGCTAATGAAGGAGCTGTTTGTGCCTGGGCAAAGGCCGCCTCCAGCGCTGGCACCTCTCCCGGGAGAGCCTGGCAGCCGCGCGTTGGCGCTGCTGGAGCCGTGCCCTTCACCGCCTGCTGATAACTTTTTTCCTTGAAGATTTCCCCGGTGCACTCGAGGAGGCTCATGGGGCCCTGCTGTCCCGAGCAGAATATATTGTCTTTTTTCTTCTCTTACAAGCAATTGATTATGTTCTGAATGTTTCTGAAGCTGCCTTAAGATTGCCATAGTGCTCGAGCAATCATGCTAGCAGTCAGGATGGCAGCAACACGGGGTGTCCGTGGGCCTGGACATTTCACTCATCGCAGGCCAATGAAGGAACGAGTCCCTGCTAAACCGCAAATGCTTGACGAGCGCAGCCAGGCAGGACTGTCCGGACTAACCTTTTTCAGCAGAAAAACACAAGTTTATCAAAACCAAACCTGTCTGCAGGATGACTAGGATAAAATTGTATACCAGGGATTCTTGGCTCCAGGGTATTTGCCATTGGCAGGACATTTTGGCTAATATTTGACTGCTTGAGCATTCGTCCCTGAACAGGCTCAGCAGGACAGTGTTTGGAGACTGTTCCCCTCCAGTCCTGTTGAACAACATTTGCCATGGATCTTGCAAGCAGGTGCCTTTTCTTCGTAGCCATTTAAATACAGACCAGGCAGCCATCCAAAGGGCATCTGTACATACAGCTGGAGGCAGCTGTTCTCGCCTCCCAGTGTAGCCGTGTTCTTAAATGATAAAACTAAAGCCATTGTATATTAAATATATGTAATCACTGACCTTTTCAGATGCATAATTTTTAGGGTTTTTTTCCTTTAACAGTGAAAGGAACAAGGAATAATTCTGCCAAAATTATAGTATAGCTTGATTTTTCCGAGTGGTTTGAAAATAGGGTATTGAATAAGACAGGGAAGGAGGCAGAGGAATGGAGAAGGTTTGCTTGTTTAGAAATGAAATTGTTGATGGGCTTGGTGTATTGATTGTAAAATACACACTATTTTAAGTCATTGCAGGATATCTGCAATAGCTTTGGAGAGGAGCCTTTCAGATACGGAAATCTTAAAATATAAATAGAGGTCGCAGTGCCAGCTAAGATTAAAATTACCTGCTATTTCTCCTCCGGAGATTCTACTTCTCATTGCTTGTAACTTCACCAAATTTGAATGATTCAGATTGAAATTTTCTGTGTCGGATGTTTATGCAAGGCTGAATGTTTCAGGGAATTCCCAGTGTGTCTTTTCCTGAGAATGAGGCTCAGGAAATGCATGCTGGTTTGGGATACCAACTCTCACAGTAATGTCCTGGTTTCGGCAGGGATAGAGTTAATTTCCTTCCTAGTAGCTGGTACAGAGCTGTGTTTTGGATTTAGGGTGAGAACAATGTTGATAACACACCGATGTTTTAGTTGTTGCTAGGTAGTGCTTAC